AGAATTCCGTTGCTCTGTAAAGCAAATAGAAGGAAGTCCTTGATCCCCTCTGCCAAGGGTCCTTTGTGGCGCCGTGGCATCCTGCCAGGGTCTGTGAATTGTGAGGCCTCCCTTGGCTGCTCTCATACAGGACACCACCATCCAGCTTGTATTTTACAGGAGACAGATTCATCATCGTCTGTATTTGAATTCTCTTGGGAACCCACAGGCTCCCTCATTTCCTCTCTAGAGTGCCCTCTTTCCAAAGTAACTTGAACCTTGTTTAACTATGACAAGGTGTACTCAAATCACTGGCATTGCTTTACAACTTTTTAGTTTTAGTCTCTTCAAGGGTGGTTTCCCACTTCTTTCCCACATGAAGGGAAACAGGCTACTGGCCTGCCTGAGAGTTCCGGATCCACCTTAGAAGACTTGGGATGGAAGCGCTGGGTTTTCCGAGACACCAGGGTGAAAATGTGAACCACGCCCCCTGGTGGTTGAGCTGATAATGGCAGGCTAATGAGCAAACTCAGTTGCTGTTACATCCTGGAGGAGATCTTAAGTGTCTGAGGGCTCACTCTCCATAATCAAACACCCTGGCACTTTTCAATCCCTACACAACGCTGCTCTGCGGGCGAGAACCCCTCTACCTTCTCCTGCACACAAACACTACAGGCAGTGAATCTCCGGAACGTTTCTCATGTTGCCGTTTCCTAAGGAAATATCTGGAACAACTTAGTTGTTTGATTTCTAAGAGAACAGTGTTGCCGAGTCCGTATCGTGTATTTTAATGAGCTCAGCCTCCCCTGCAGCACAGGCCAAGGGTGTGCCTTCCAAGAAAGGAAGGAAGGACCTTCACTTCCCAGCTCCCTGGTGTGTAGGAATGTGCATTTCCTATGGTCCCTTTCAGTTTTAGAATTACTCTTAACAAGAGTAACAGAAGTCGTCAGGGCCAGAGTGGGGTTGGCTAGAACAGATGAGGTTATACAATTAGCTGCTGTTTGTGATTTTGAATTGGGGAAGGAAGGGAAAAGAAGGAAGTTATATCCTTCTAATATTGCCTGTTCTTCATTTATCAGATAGCGTTCTGCTTTATTTATTCCCCAGGTGTTTTGCAACAATGTGCCTTTTTCAACTAGGAAATCAACACACATAAAATGGAACCACTTTATTTCATCAAAGTGGTTCTTTGTGCTGAAGTTGATCATAAACCTTTAATGACCCCTGTATGCCAGATTTCTTTTTT